TTTTTTTTCAAAAACAAATAATTGATACATAACAATAAAAAAATTGTTTAATCAAACAAGAATTGTAATCGTCTTGTTTGCTGTCCAAATCTGTTTATAACTTTTTCAATAAATTCTGAGTCGTCTTTGATTCTTTTCTAATGTACACTGAGCATGCTCAAACTTGGCAGATATCTAAGCTATATTTTGAAATTTCATTTAACAAAATATAAATAATATAATATTTTTTATTAGTTATTTAGCTTAACAAAGGTGTATAACACAAACTGACTTCTCACAACTGTAAAACTTCATCAACACAATAAATACCAATGTTAAGCGTGCACAATAAACACGTTAGTATACGAAACTACTGTTTGTAGTTATTTGTGTTTCAAAGTCAGTAGCTATGCTAGCATCATCAATACAGTTTCTGGTTTCAAAATTTGCAAGTACAAGAATTTCGTGCTTTTTTTAAAATATCTTGTTAACAATGAAGAAATGTATCTTGAAGAAAATTAACAGATGAAAGTATATGTAATAACAAAACAAAATGCAATAGCAGAACATTTTAATATTTTTTTTTGGGGGGGGGGCTTGTTTGTTAGAGGGTTGCACCCCCTTTTATATTATTCTGCCGGCGACCTTGTGACAACTATAATAAAAAGGTTTACCATTCGCTTTTCTTTTTTACCTAAGTGACAATATTTTTCAAAAGAGCTTTAAAAATAATTTTTAATCCTTTTAGGATGAAAGGTTTGTAATTTCAACATTTTTGCTCTATTGAAAAATGCTTTTTAGTGCAAACATTTTCGTGACAATGAAAAAAAAATTTAGTAAATGGCTGCCGTAAGGTTACATGCTTTCTGTGCTATCGCTTATGTAATGCTTACTAGGTGATTAAAGAACAGGCTTGATATTCTATGAAGTTTTATTATTGTGATATTTTTATCAAATTTGAGTGAAATTTTACCATTTATAAGAGTTTTCTGTAATGAGTCATGATGTTTTCTACACTAGGGAACGCTGCAAGCTCGGTACTGCCCAAATTTCCAGGTTACTGTTTCCGTTGTATTTTAAAGCCATTTGGCATTGTTGTGTTTTGAGATTCTTGCAAACAATGTATTTGATTACTTATAACTTGTGTTTCCAGTGCTAACAATACTTTGTTTACAATGCTAAAAGTGTTAACACTAACGTAAGATGGTGCACAGCTTGCAACAAGAACAAACAGTAATAAACTTATGGAAAGAGGCCAAAGCAAGGCTGCTAAAAAAGCGAGTTATTCAATAAATATCGCCTCGCAGAATAACATGTAGTTAACAGCTGCAAACTTTCTAACCGGAACTAGAGCAGGCATACAACTCGAGATTGTTATTGTTTACATTTCTACTGAAAACACCCTCCATAGCATCACGGAAATTTTAAAAAATATTTTTATTTAATAAAAAAGGAAAATATCGTAGTACATTCCTACAAAACTGAAAAGAAGGGAAGGGAGAATGGCTAAAGACATGAAACCGGTCTCTCCCCAGATGGCGTATTCGAGCGTTGTGATCGCAAATTAGCTTACATTTTTTATTCATAAATTCAATATAATTTGAAAAAAAGACTAGAAGAAATAAGTAGTCAAAAACGTTTCAATTCACTAACTGTAAATAAATCAAATACAATAACAGATACTCCTTAATTTAGTTTAGATGTTAAGTAATAGACTGTTTTCTATTAATAATTTTTCAATTCTGTAATGGAAATTAAGTGATTGGAATTCTCTAAACAACTTGCATAATTCTGTGCCACAAAAGTATTTATATATATATTGAATTGCTAACAAGCTTAAATGTAAGATAACTCATTTCTACTATTTGTGACTAGAACTTTTAATAACTAAGAATAATTGTTTAACAATATAATAAACTGTAAAACCTTAAACTTTAGACCGTTTGCTTTTTGGGAAGATATTTTAATAAAATATTGAAAATTAATTCATTGAAATCTGGAAATTCTATATCTAATCTATAATTTGTTGGGTAAAAATACTCTTGTTTATTTTTATTTTCTTGCAATAGGGATTTAGGATCGCATTTTTGCTTTAAATAAAATTTATATTGGTTTTATTTTAATGTAATAAACATTGTTATTCCTACAAAAGACATGTTTTTTTTATCCTTTTTCTAACCTTTATGTTAAACTTTGTTGCCAGAGGTAATCATATTTAATATTACTCAGTAGATGATAGTAACTTTTTAATATTGCCCCTTTTTGGGGATATTTCCGTATCGTGATCTGTTGCGCCAACTACAATCGCCAAGGTGCGAAATATATTCTAAATTTGAAATATTCTTGGAAAAAAACTTGTAGATGCCTGGGGGTGACTACAAGTTATACCTTTCGAGTTGGTCCCTTTCAGTGATGTTTTTTTTTTTTTTTTTGTNGTTTCCAAGATTTGGCGATTATTCTGCCACAGATCACGATACAGAAATCTCCCCTTGCTTTTATAATTCAACATGTGTGAACAATCATTTAAAAGCAAACACTTGACATGAAAGATAAATTTTAACGATTTTTGCATTTTCTGAAGAATTTTTTTTTTTATGTTGCCTGTTACCAACTTTTCAAAAATTAATTAGTGAAGCTTTAATAACTGCTTCTCTGTTAATCATATTTGAACTATGGTGTATTTAGTGTAAAAAGTTTACACATAGTTGTGAAAGAAAAATTTATTACAAGGGTATGTCCAGGCCAAATTTACTACCGTTTAGCTGTACCTTCATAAATTCAACTTTAGGGAAACTGGTAGTTTCACAAAATATGTTTTATTAAAATTTTATTTTTCTATACCTTAAGAAATGATAAATCCATATTTTTAGCATATTGTTGTGTTGATTTTTTAATATAATTTTTAGTTTTCACAAATCGTACCTAAATTTTCGCAAGATAGGTACCTCTCAGGAAAACCTAGACAGACCCCTGAATTATGTTAAATTATCCTGTTAGTTACTTACAAGTTTCCTTCAAATCTAAATTTTAATTCAGTCCTGATGTTGAGTATTGCTAGCCATATTCAAAAATTAAATTAATCACCAACAATGATCAATTATTTTATTTTAAAACCATTTTTTGTTTCAAAAATGCCTAAAATTTTAAAATCACACAAATGATTTTTAAACATTGAACTTTTAAATCATTAAAATATTAAGGTAGAAGATAACCTATACAATTGAAATATTCTCAGTATTTTAGAATTTCAAAAAAAAAAGTTAAAATAATTTCAAACTATTTTTACATGAAGAATGAATTTGAAACATAGGTTTAAATTTCTATTGAGATACATTATTCTAATTTAAATAACTCACAGGAGTCTGTTTAGAAGAAATTTGGGTCCGTTAACGGACCCTTCACAAAATATCTTTTCATAAAAACGGACCCTTCACAAAATATTTTAACTTAAAAACGGACCCTTCACAAAATAATTTATCCTTCAATCGGACTCTTCACAAATTTGTTTATCTTCATTATTGTTTTGTTAATCGAATGAACCCTTCTCGGGGGTGGGGGTAAAGAAAGACAGATGTAAACGAACTAAGTTTTGTCTTCGGTAGACGCTTCTTCCTTTATTCGTCCGAAATGAATCTTGCGTTCAGCAGTATAGGCTAAATACCAAATATTTGTATGTTGAATCTCTAACTTAGTAGCTGCTTTTGCTGTTAATTTTTTAAAATTTAATTCTCTTAATTATAATTTTACAGTGTTGAGCATAATCTTGTATGTCTTTACAATTTTAAAACACCTTGAAAAAGTTTTTTTTTGCAATAACGGACCCTATTTGCACAAATTCATAAAAGCGGACCCTGATTGACAATTTGTGAGTAATTTTTTCACAATTTCACGAAAAACGGACCTTTCACAAAATGTCTGGACAGACCCCTGAA